TCTGTGCCTGAGAACCTTCCAAATTTCTCGAACTATATGTTGCATATCCACGAATTTTCCGTTCGTTTTTCGGATTATCTCTAAATTTAGCCAAATGCTTTGAATGCACTTTCTCCCTCTCTCGATCTATTTATCCCCGTAACCCCTGGGCCATATAAACAGATTCCCTAACTAGAGTGGATTCTGTGAAGCATTTAGAAAGTAAAATTGATAAAATCTTGAGGTGGATATCCCATATTTACAACTCTGTACAGGAACTTCGTGGATTATCTTTTAAACTGCGAAGACTTACGCAGTTCAACGCTTTTTGTTTATCAATGTGTCTTTCCCGTTCTTCTTGATTGTTCCCCGTGGGGTTTGCTGATCTACTCAAGAAAGATTTCAGAATTCTTCGTCGAGGTTTGTCTATCATCAGTCGTGTATTTTGCACCCTTTGATGATGATCCATCTAAAAAAACTGCATGAACTTCACCTGTCTGCATGTGAAAAATTTGCACAGAAAATCCTCCCTGACCCCGCAATCATTCTCTACATGGCGACCTATAAAAATGTTCTCATTGCGTCTATGCGTTCTACATATCGATTATTATTACCCTCTTGCATCAAGTTCTACAGAAATTCCCCTGTTCCCTATTTAGCCAGAATCCTTGTTAACCGACTGACTGTTTCTTCTCAATTTCTCAACAACCTTGAAGATTCGATTTTTTTTTACTTATATTATTTTCTTCTTTTGATCCGCCGTGTAATTTTTTAACTGAAATGCGGACTTCATCTGTCCACGCAAAAGTCTATACAAATACGTCTACAAACACAACAATATATCCCGGGGGAGGGCGGCATCGGTGATCTAAGCGAAATGCGGATCAGGAGAACAAAATTAGCATACTCTCTGTACATATAGTTTAATGCGATCAAAACCAGACAGGTTTTCCTCAGAATTCACTGCAGTCGGGGCAGTCAGCTTAAATGCTAACTGGTGGATGGAAAAAGGCCTATGTAGTATGGATGGGTAATTCGAATGTGGAATGATCAACGCTATCGATGTGGCCTCGTAGCTCAGCTGGTAAGGCGGGCGCATACAAAGCGTTGGTTCGAATCCCACCGAGGTTATTGAACGTTTGAAAATCACCATACAAACTTCAAATCTGTCAAGCAACAATTTGAACAAGATGTAATTGTAAGGAATATTGGATGGATTTATGGAAAAACTGATTATTTGGCCTACGGAACCTTGTTTCCAAAATAGTAAAACGGTCAAAGTTGTACATTTCAACGAGCGCAATAGATAGCCTCTCGCATAGTACGTTCCACTGCGTACAAGAGATGTGGCACCCTCATGGTTTCTGGCACATGCGCAGTACAAATAAAGGGGACAAGAGAGGTGAATCGGGATAGGAGACAGTGCGTATTTGTGACCGTATCTGTTGCGTGCAGACATACATTATGGGTACAACTGTAGGCTAAATTTTGCCATCGAGTTTTTTGATACTTTAAACTGCAATGAATCTTTCATAGACCACTCCTCTCATTTCTCGCTCTCTGTCACCGTCTTTCGCTCTCTTCCGCACATTACGAAATATTTTTCACGTTTTTAGTTTCTCTTGTTTAGGAGTGGGGGTACAGCTTTCAATGACCGTAAAGCAAGCTCCATATGATCGAGTATGATCGAGGCAGCTGCTCAACCGCTGTACTGTTGTTGAGGTCTAACCACATATTGGACGGGAAAGTGCAAGTCCCTAGTGTGTTTTCGCATCTGCTAACCCCGAATCACCCATACTACGCAGCCAAACCTACCATTTTCCTCCACTGCCGTAAGACGCATTACTGTAAAAAACGGAACTGAAGCGTTCTGTCAGAATTGGCTGCTTATTATTTAATTGTTGGATTAGTGTTTTGTTTTGCGTGCCAAATTGCAATAAACGTGGAATAAAAGAAGTAATGTTATAAACAGACTAGCGGTAAGTAGATACTATTAAGAGACATTAAAAATATAAAATGAAAGAAAAACCTTCTATTGTCGTCATCATCATCATCACCATCATCATCATTATAAACGTCCGAATCGCCATCATTTATCACATCAGCTCTATCATCATCATCATCATCATCAGCAGCAGCAGCAGCAGCATCATTATCATCTTCAACCACATCATCCTCGGAATTACCAAACAATTCACCATGAATATCATCATAATCACAATGATCAACATGATCACAATCTTTATCATCATGTCATCATTTTCATCAACAATGCCATCATAATGGTCATCAGCATCCTCATCGTCGTCATCATGATCGTCAACTTAATTATCATGATCATGATCATTATCGTCATCATCCATATCATCATCGGCAACATTATAACCATTACCTACATCTTCATCTTCATTCTGCTTGTCATCATCATCATCATCATCATCATCTTCACAAACATAAACAGCATAATTTTCATCATAATGACTGTGATCATCGTCGTCATAATCATTGTAATCATCATCATCTTCATGCTTATCATAATCATAATTGTAAAACTTTAGGAATCCTTGATTGTCTATACTTGGATTCTTATCGATTTTTGCGCTATACCATATCCCAACCGGTCGCACTCTATACGATACCTTATTTTTCTATTTCTGTTTAACTGCATTACTGCCCTTTATAACTGTTGATTTTCCGTTCTGACTTGGACGCGCCAGTTAAATCGACGTCGTGTCAATCTAGTCGTGAGTGCCTACTTTTTATGTTTGATACTGTAATTATTTGTAGAACCACGTTCAATAATAATACTGCTACCCAAAGCTGTTTTTTTCTGCTCAGACTGTGCATTTAGACTAGATTAACAGGATCGCAGTTTACTGTTAGCTACCGCGGTTAGACTTAGCTGATTCGTCCTACCTTACGCGTTGGTTTCCTGCTGTTAGCTGTGTATTCTTCGTACAGTCTATAAGAGCAATTCGAATTCCGTCGTACGTTATATCTGTTTTCGTTTGCCCAACAATCATCATCATCGTCATACACGTGATTATTATAATCACCATCACCAGGAACATCGTCAACATCATCATGTTCATCATCATCGTCATCATAACCGTCATCAATATTATGATCATGATTATCCAAATCACCATCATTATGATTATTCTTATCGAAATCATCATCTTTATCATTCTCATCACCATCGTCATAATCATCATATTCAACAACATGATCCTTTTCATGATCAACCCAATTAACATCATTATCATCATAATTATCATCAACGTCATCGTTTGCATCATCATCATATTCGTCATCATCATCATCTTTTTTATGATCATCTTCCTCACCATGACAACAATCATCATCATCAGCAGCAGCAGCATCAGCATCATCATCGTCATCATCTGTTATGGTTATCGTCACCGTGACCATCATCGTTATCCTGATTATCATCGGCATCATTACCATTCTAGATATCACAATAACCATCATCGTCATCATCATCATCATCAGCAGCAGCAGCAGCATCAGCATCATATTCGTTATCATCATGATCCGAATCACCATTATTTCAGTCAGCATCCTCATGATCCTGATCCTGATCATCATCATCATTACTGTCCTCCTCCTTATAAACATCAATATCGTCATCATCAACAACTTCATCATCCGAGTGATCGTCATCTTCATTTTGATGACTATGATCATGATTGTTGGTGCATAGTGAACCATCGATGGTAGTTTGCCATCAATTTTGCAAAAGCACGCTTGACTCCTTACTCAAAGTTCACTTGATGTCGCAATTGTTATTCGCTACATACATATATATCTTTCTCGCGATAGGAAGTTTGGTCACAAATCATTCAACAGATCATAATATTAACAATATTGATAAACTCACAAACGCTGTGTTCGTCTGCTTAGAGGTACTAATTTTTATGATCTATACTGAAATTGCTATGAGTTTCACAAAATTTGGCCATAAATCCAGTTGGAGCAGGTTGATGGCTTTCGAGCTACCTAGTTGAAATAACTTTTTCTGATATTTTTTAATGTTTCCGTTATCCGGATGTCACGGTCGGATGAGTCATATCGAATCAGCCATTTCGAATTGAAAATTTGTAGATATCCTTTTGTGCGTGAAAATCAGTGATAGACGATGGAGGCCAAAAGCTTAACAGGTTATCTTTTCTTCTGATCAAAAAATGTACCAAACAGTGGACCGAACTTACTGGCTTCTTCACCAACTGATTCCTCGACAATCAACCACTTTTATTTTACCTAACCCCTTCGTTGGTTTATATAGACCTACGTTTCTTCGGGTGTTTTATGTGTCTAAGGGTTGATCTGGTGGGCACGTCAAACAAAACCAGACCATCTCGTGCCGGGTATTCAATCGACGCGATCGAATTGGAGAAGATCGTATGATCCTCCATACCTAACGGGTATAAATATGTTTTTCAACTGGACGAAACTTCATGACGATATTTCTCTTATGAGAATAACGGACTGATCTGATGGTACCCTAAGGACTAGTGACAGATATAACAATATAATGCTATTTTATTTTGTGTTGAATGTGTTTAATTGTCACCATCATTTTATGTTTCCACACTTTTAGCTATAAATTCCCCGCTCTCTGGATCACTCGCCACACAGCTGAAGATTCCCTGCTGTACCATGCGGTTGCTTTACCCATCCGTGTAACTGGTACGAATCCCCGGTTCCCGTAACCAAAATAAAGCATGGCACATAACCAAACCGGATTTGTGCTTCTGCATTCCGCGGTAAGTATTGCAAAATTATACAATTCGGATTTTTGAAGTGATTGTCCCCACATTGGTCTTTCTTTGTGAACATGTTAGTATCAGACCGACATATGTACTGCTGGAACAATTTGGAACCTATGATACATCCAGGGAGTGGGGGTAGTGTTTGAGAATGATCAGCAGTGCGCGGCCCTCAATTCCACTAATCATTTAACCCCGGTGCCAGCCATTTGCAGCACCTCTGAGAAACTGGCTGTCAGGTGTATCAAGCATTGCAAATCTCATCCGTCCGTGTGTGTGTGCATTCGCTGTTGTTTGTTCCAAAATATGGTCCTTCGCCTAGTGCATGAATCAAATAGGCGAATAACGAATGCGCACAGCACGGGTACTTCATGCTGGCGATATGCTGTCCGTTGAGAATTATCCCCACTGACACACTAAGGAATGCTCGAACCTAACTATCTGATTGTCCAACTGCTCGTTGGTGGTAGTGTCTTGAAGTTTGGCTCTCGACACAAAACGTCTCCATTCCAGTATTAACCCCTCCTCTGGGAGAGGGGGGGGGGGCTGGGTGCACTCGAGACAGCCTTATTCCGGATGTGGCCCCGTCTTGAACATAGCTTCTATGACTGTATACTCAGTGAATAGGTGGTTGGGAAAATATATTTGTATAATGGTGATTACCATCCATCTTTTAAATCAGATCAATACCACGGGAAAAGGAAAACACAAAAGGAGTTGTTTGAGTAAATGGATTCAATTAGATTCAGTGGATTGTCCAAAGCATATCGGTTTGTTTCTGTTCTTTGTATTTATATTTGCGTGGACGACTTGTATGAGCCATTCGTTTACAGTTCAAATGGTTATTCTGGCATAGCGATCAAAAATAATGCACAAAAGATTACACTCGCTGTGGGTATTCGCAAGTTCAATTCGTGAAGTAGTCCTTTTAGAGTCTGCCGTTCTGTGCGTGACAGATCCACACTCCTGTTGGGTGAATAGGTATGTTGTTAGACAACTCTTCTTGTGAGTGGAATAACAGAATTCACGGTGTGATATGACAATGGGTCATGGAAAGGTTATTTTTGTGTTCTAAAGCGAAATAGATAAATAATCATGCTTGAATATCCATTAGTCATGTTCAAATGGGCACCTAACTGACCACAATCGTTTTAACAAGGAATGGTGTCACCCATGTACAAAGGTGGCTGTCCAAGTGACCCCGCTAACTGCCGGCCTGTAACACATCCACCAGTGTTATTGCAAGTCATGAGGTCAGTTGTGGCAGATTCAGTCAAGGAACATTTACAAAGATACAATAACAGTCTTTCGACAGCTCAACACGGGTTCAGGTAAAAGCGATACTGCTCCGCCAACTGGCTTCTTGTTCGAGATCAATGGACCAGAATAGCCAATGAACTGATAGTAGTGTATCTTCTTTAGCGGAACTTCTCAAAAGTATTTCGTCGGAAAAATCACCAAATTTTTATTACAGAAGCTCTACAATGACGGAATTCGAGGTTTCGTGCTTGATTGGATGCATTGCATTTTATCCCCGGTTCTGTCAATGCGACGCGCCGTGTTCCACAACGGTCTGTACTTGGTTCCCTGACATTCCCACCGCATTGATTTGCCGAATAAGTTAGGGTCAAAACTAATGCTGTTTGCGGACAACACCAAAATCCGGAGTACCGTAACAGAAACCGATGTCTAGCTAACACTTCAAGAAACACTTAATGCAAATTATCAATGGTCTGCAGAGAAAGAAATTGAATTAAATGTTGCTAAATGCAAAAGTCCTATCCCTACGCTAGAGGAGTAAAATATGGTGCATTCTCAGAAATCACCGGCTCTCGCATATCTCAAGTGAGAAGAATTTAGGTCTAATTTTTCAAGACGACCTAAGCTGTTCGATCAATCTCTTCTGGGTCTCGTCCGCTGCTGTGAACAACGACGACTTTCTTAGGCAAGACTTTGGTCGGTTTTAATCGGTATTGTTCCCACGTTTGCCATCAGTGTACATTCGACCCTACACAGAGTTCACCATTCAACAAGCTTGGAATTCATGGTGGCAACGTGATCGTAGTCAGTTACTGGAGCGTCCACAAAGGATGGCCACCAAGACGGTCAAGGGATTCGATTGCGTTGCCTATGAGCAGAAATTACAACCAGTGGGATTATATTCTGCTCAGTACCGCCGAATTCGAGGAGAATTAATTTTGGCGTATCGCATACTGTAAAACCCAAAATATCCATGTCGGCCGCTGCTCACGTTGTCGAACAATGTACATCTTAGGGTACATCATTTCAAGTGTCTCGTTCAAAAGTGTCGACCGGAATGCCGGCATCAATTGTTTGCAGTCAGTGTGCAGTACTTGGAACACCCTTCCATCTCACTATCGAATCTTTCAAGTGGAGACTCGATGAAACTGTAATGATTGTAGTAGTGGTATTGGTAATAGTATTAGTATTACGCACGGAACATGAACCACGCAATAGGAATCACAGGATNGACACGAATCAAGGATCATCTATCACGGACTGGATTACGGAAGCACTGAACTGCAATGGCACGAGCTCGCAATATCCCACGTAAACACGACTTGAGGAAAAGGCCACATGAGTGGCAACTCGTAGTTGGTTTATTGGAAGAAATGAAGACGATTAAATAATATGTGCCAAAGATCATTGGTTATCTAGGCTTCTAACAACCCTATTGCAGTATTGCGTGCATCATTCTGCTTCTGTCTGTACTGTCTCGGATTGG